TTTCATTATAATAAAAAAATTATACTTTTTATTCAGAATTATTACATACGAACTAAATAACTAAACAATTATGTGTTACTGATATGAATATAGTCATACAAATTAAATTTATTTATTTTATTTTAATTATTCGATGTGTAGTATCTTGATCTACATTTTCGTTTAAATCCATTAACTGGTGCCTTTTTGATCATAATGACATTAAATCGTATGTCAGCAGAAAACTAACGTAAAACATTTCGTACATTTTTCCAATAATAATTTAAGAACAACGTATTAAATAATGAGCTATGGTACATGTATTGAGACATTGATTATTTCGTAAAAAAAAAGATAAAATACAATAATAAATATTTCTTCGATGCAATCAATGCAATATTAAGTTGATCGCATTGTTGTACGCTTATAGTTAACGTGGGGTTATTTCCATTCATAAACTGTTTTGATTTTATTTTCAAATACGAAAACGCGATATCGGATAAGAATATAAGTATTATGATTTTCTGCTATAACATAGTACATGCAAACCGCGGTTGATTGCTAATGTGACAGTGTTCAATTTACTCATTTTATTATAATATTTGCATCTCACATGATTGCACGGAATATGTTACGTGATCGAATTAGTATATTTGTTATGGTCACGTAATATAATACGGAAATAATCAATGCGTTCTACTCGTACAAATTTATATACGGTAAATTCATGTCACCAAAATGATTAGAATATATTTTCAGGATTATCTTAACGGTTCTGCCAGACTTATTACGTCAATGTATTCATAATCGCAAAACCGAAAAAGAGTATACTACTATCGTACGAAATCGATTATGATTCAATCATTTATTTAAGTAATATTTGTATAATACATAAAAACGTACACTGTATAAGGTACGGCTAATATGGTATTACATTGAGATTGCATAACGTTGGAAAATTATTTAAAGCATTACAGGTGACATTTAGAACAATTTTATTATATTTAAACAGTAGTTATGTGTTGATATTTTAACGAAACCATTTAATTTAACAACTTTGTAGATTGGTGTTCTACATATAATTTGGAACTTGGAATATTATTCCCTTCAAGTATCACATTATAAAATAGTTTAAAACGGTACATGGTGTTAAAAAAATAAGACAATAATCAATATACTCTTATATGTTATCATAAGTCTACTACGACTGCCGTTCGGTATCAAGTATATCTTAATTCGTGGTATAAAAATAGATTTGAGACAGTTGAGCTGATATATTGCGAGTATCCTGTGTCATTATTATTTTAAATTCAATATATTCGTAATGATGATTTATCTGTTTGTTTATTATTTTAATACGTGTTCTGCTGAGTCATGGACTGATCTCCGTAATACATTTCCCCGTCTAGCGATTTTCCCCATCCGATACTTCCCCATCTAGCAATTTGATATGTCATATACAAGTAACGATAGTATAAAATAATTTATTTTAATTCCATGCTGTATAATATGTTTATATAGCTTATAATTGTACTCTGTATAGGTACGGACAAATTAACGTAGATATGAATTTATTTTTTATTGATTTTATCAAATATAAATTACCTATAAAGATATACGTTATTGATGTACGATATACGTTATCCTAAAACGGATCTGGTATGCATTAGCAAAACTAACAAATTGAAACAGTTTCTCGATAATCGTCGCGTCGTTATATTTTCGTTATTCGCTGTCAGATTCGTTATACATAAATAAGATTTTTTTCTTTTAATTTATTTATTTTTTACTATTTTAAAATGACTTACGTAAAAAGTACCAAAGGAAAAAATTTTTTAGTATATGCGGAATATATTTTTGAAAAGGACTATACAAAAAATGAAAAAAACGTATTGGAAATGCATCAAATATAATATATACAAGTGTCGTGGCCGGGTACATTCAGTAAATGATAAAGTTTGTTCTACACAAAAACACTTACAAGCATACATCCAACATAACAGAAATAAGTACTAAGACTATTATTAACGAGTTAAAAGAGACAGCATCCAGTCAAGTTACTTCAACTCCTCATCAAATAGTTGCTAATACTACATCTACTATATCATCTTAAGCAATTTCTAGCGCTTTACCTTCAGTATCCACAATGAAGAAAACTGTCCAAATACTAAGGCATTGTAAAAATGCACCTCCCGTAATTCCGTCAACGTTAACAGAAATAAATATTATTGACTCATATACACTCACATTAAACAATAAACCTTTCCTCCTCTATGATAGTGGTTCTGATGATGTTAATCGAATATTATTGTTTTCAACTGAAGAAAATTTAAAAATATCAGTGTCATTGATTTATTGATGGTACATTTAAGTCATCCCCACAACTTTTTACTCAACTTCTTACAATCCATGCAATAAAATACGACACAATATTACCGTTAGTGTTTGCACTTATGCCAAATAAAACACGTGATATTTATACTAAGATTAGACAAGAACTTCTAAATTTAGAAAAAAACTTACGGCCAGCAAGTATTATGGTAGATTTTTAACATGCACTATTTGGCGCGATTGCAGACGTTTTCAAGGACGTCCAAATAAAGGGCTGCTTTTTTCATTTTGGGCAATGTATATGGAGAAAAATACAGTGTATTCCTAAAGTACGAGAAAAATATATTTCAAATGCTGACTTTGCCTTAAATGTAAAACAGTTAATGTCCTTAGCATTTATACTAATACCTGACGTCGAAGAAAAATTTGACGAGTTAATATCCCAAAGTTTTTTTGAAAAAAAAATTAAGAACTATTGTTTCCATTGACAGACTACTTTGAAGATACATGGATCGGCAGACCAAATAAGCGTAGAACTCGACGCCCACCTACATTTAGTCTAGCACTGTGGAATCAATACGATGTAACACTTGCAGATTTGCCTAAAACAAACAACTCCGTTGAAGGTTGGCACAGAGCATTTTCGTCATTTTTAGGTGCATTTAATCCAACAATATCACGATTAATAGACATAATAAAAAAAGAACAAGGTTTAATGGAGATAAAAATCAATCAATTAATAGTAGTACAAAAACAGGTAGCTAAAAAGAAAAAATATACGAATACAACTACACAGATTAAAAAGATTGTACGTTCTTACAATGAACGTAATCACAATGAATATTTAATTGGAATTGCTCATAATTTACAAATGTAAGTTATTATTTTTTTTATTATTATTAAACAAAACTTTATTATTTTTACTTTTATTTTTTTATTTTTTTATTGAGATTAACATTTTATTATGTTTATATATGTATTATATGTTTATATTATACTAGCTATATTACGTGGCGTAGCCCGAAAAATCTCCTTTTAGTTGTAAGACGCTGTGGAAGCAATGTCATTTTAAGTGTAAATTATTTAATATTAAATTTAACTTAAATTTACATAAATCTCAATTGATAATTATTAAAATCAACATATTAAACCAGTGCATTTTATTTGGAATTTTCACTAGACGACAAAAAATGTTTTTCTCAAAATAGTCAATGTATAATACCATAGTACGATTATAGTATTACACGTTTATTTCACATTATTTCACTTTATCAATCTTTCAAAATACAATCGACAGAGTATAATTACTGGGCGACATGTGTCGCTTAGTTAGCTACTTAAAATATGTATTAAACTTAACTTTATTAAACACATCAACATATTTCTTAGGTCACCAAAAAATGAAAAAGTTTACATGTAAAAATGTATTTTTGCCGATTTCAACCCTTTAAAATCAAAATTTTGAAAATAGAGTGACGTGGTGATACTCAGGAAGATATTTGGAATAACTCTGTGAAAAAAAATTGGAAAAAAGTTAAATAGCGTCGTCAAAAAATTGGTACAAAAAAAAGGCCTGTTATTTTATACATATAAAGATTGTATTTTAGTGTATTAGACGGGGATATGTCACATAAGAAAACGTATTAGACGGGGAAATGTCTTACAGGGATGTGTTTACGGGGAAATGTTCGACGGGAAAATGGCGACGGGGAAGTGACCCGATACCGTTCTGCTAGTATGTGTATGTATTGGAAAACATGATAATTTATTTCATTCGATTTGTAAACAGTTTATTTCTTTTAGAGTAAATAATTAAAATGGTAACTATTATGTAACAGATAATTACTATATTAACAGATGTCTGTTATTTATAAGTACTTATGATGATTTTGTAACAAAAATGTCGCTATTTTCATTTTTTTTTTTTTTAAACTTATTTTTTCTTCGATAATTTCTATCTGCTGAATCGATTGCGTTAACGTAAAAAAATATTCTCAATACGCAATTTATCATATTTTAATACAACTTCAGTTGTCTATATTATTCTATTAAATTCTTATATAAGGAAGAATTGTTGAGTTTGAGATCGATAAAGATTTAATTAGTTAAGGTTGTTTCGGTGAGAAGTTTGAATTTAGTTTTGCTTTAACTTATGCTACTATAATGAAAGTTTATCTTAAAATGAAAATAATAAGCGACGTGATGTGATAGCTCTAGTTAAAAATAAACATGACAGCACAACATGCATTTTAATAGAAAAAAACATGGATAACAGTATTTTATTGATATGCTGTAGAAAATCAAATAAATTAATGATTTATTTGTAATATAAAGAACAACTATAAAGTGGCATACAATTATTTTGTTAAACGGAACACCTACAATCGAATACACATATTACAATAATTTATAACAAGTATATAGGTAATAATATGGTTTAATGTTACACTATGAATATCTGTATGGAAGTCTTACTAATCGTTGGTGGACATTTGTAAATTTCATAATCCAATATTAGATCTTCTTCTTCGGCAATTTTTTGTAAAAATTCGGCAGTCGATGAAATTGTAAGCATTCCTATGGTTTTCATTTTCTGTGACATAATAACAATTGTATACATAAATCTCGTTTTAAATTTTACGTATTACTCGTATGTGATAATTGTGATTAGATAAAACGAATGCAATTACCTTCAATTTGCGCACACTCGGATTGATAGTCGAAATCGTTTGGCGAAATCAGCGTATACAAGACCAAATAATAATTGTTTGGCTTCGTTAATGATAACCGATTCGTTTACAGGTGATACATGATTTTCATTGCAGTAAGGAAATGTTGAAGTTGCGATCAGACGACCATTATCGTGATCTTCAAATGACGCCGGGTGACTGAAGATTTCATTGCTCGATTTAAATGTTGAGTCTTTGTTTACTTTTACGCATTCCATTTCGTTGGCTGAAGCAAATGCTGGTGCGTCAACAAAATCTGTGGTGTCCGGCTTTGAGTGGAATCCAACAGACGTGAAAACAAATGCATCACTGACTATTCCATTACCTTTGAGATTCATTTCAGGGACATATTTTTCCAAATCATCTTTACTACTGGTAAAAGCTTTTATTTTGTATTACATTTCCGTAGCGGCTTGTCGTTTAGCATTTTTTTTTTTTTAAACACCATTGACTTTAATTGGTAAAAAAGAACATTAATAGTATATCGAACATGAATATAAATGTTATTTCAATCACTTACCCCTGACAGTGAATGTCAATACAGTACATACAACCTAGTATGTGAACGTCTTATTATTTTCTTACTATTTTTGAAAATCTAATATTCCAGGAATATCCAATCTCGAGAAAAACACAGTTCTTGCAGGGCGCCTATGAGATCACATTTTAAATGTTTATCTAATTTATTGTCTGTAATTTTTTTTCTGAGAAAAAAAAACAAATAATATAATGCACTTTTTCTATTTATTAACAACCTTTTTTTTTCAATACTTATATTTGTTCTTTTTAGTATTGACGGTCTTGATTTCATCCTGTATTTGGACAGAAATCAAGTTATTGTGACCCATGAGTGTGTTAGTCACATTTCAGACCTTTTCTTTAGTAGATATATAATTTTTTTCAGACATTTTATTTTTTTCATACATTAATGTAGCAGCTTTTCGTTTAGCCACCTTTTTCAGTAGACCCTCGACTATGAAATCGGTATAAAGGAACATTAATAATTTATTAAACATGAATAAAAATTGTAATTCAATCACTTACTCCTGACTGTGAATGTCATTACAGTACACACAACTGAGTATGTAAATGTCTAGCTATCGTCTTCTTCGAAAAACTGATATTCCGGCAGAATCCAATCTCGAAATATACAAAGTTTTTGCAGTGCACATATCGGATCCGATTTGAAATGTACATCTAATTTATTTTCTTTGAATTTTTGTCTGAAGATAAACCTAATATTATGCATTTTTTCTATTTATTATCATTATGTTTTTTATTATTTATACTTAGAATTATTCATAGTAGTTTTTATCAATTTGATTTGATCCTGTATTGTACAGCAATGCTATTATTAATCATGTTAAAATATTAATCTGTTAATTATAAAGTATATTTATAAAATATGAAGTATAGTCGCTCTACTATAATTATAATAATAAGAAATCGAACCGATTGAATATTATATCAAAGCGTTAAATTTGTAAATCAAGACACCGTGATATTTAATTCAAAACTTAATGCTGTATAGAAATAACAAGGCTGTATTGGTTACTATACCAATTTTATAAATCATACTTATAAATATTTTTATTTATTGTATTTCATTTGAAACAGCTAAGAATTAGTTTTAATTTGGTTTATATTAAATAAATAATTCCACGAAATGTCATAACACTACTTTCTTCTTATACATTACAACTAGGAAGTAATTAGTAAATATTAAAATGTATTGAATCAACTCTTTAACCTTAAATTCAGATACTAATTTTATTTTATGTTATAATAGCTTTGATTTTATCATTAGTTATTAAATATTACAAAAATGATTTTTAGTATCGGAACTATTCATTATGTTTAACTTTTAATTTAAAATTGTATGCCTTTATAATTAGCATATTTTTTAAAAATTATGAAATATTTATAAAATGTTATTATACAGATTCTTTTTAATCTAATTGAATAATTTCTAAAAAGATACTTTGTGTTACCAAATTCTTAACACAAAATCGGTTAAATATTTTCGTAATTAATTCTCAGTTTTCTCATTTACTCGGGAAATGGTCAAAAATTTAATAAAATAACTTGTTTCCTCTAAAAATATTGGCTAGATACCAGTTTTCATGTGGCTTTCATAACTGTAACAATTGGGGTAAATTTCTAATCAAAATCTTGAATATAGACATAATAATAACCAGAAGTACATAATGGTAAAACAAATATATCTCTTATCACTAAGTATCTGAAAATGTATAAATAGTTATATATAAGCAAATATGATATTGTTTATGTTTTAATAATGCGATGTTATTCATATATTTAAATTTGTTATGTTGTATGTGTTTTTCTATTATTTATGGATATAATAGTATTTATTTATTTATTGTTATTTAAACACTGTTTTTTTATGGAAAATCTAATTATGAATATTATTAAACTTAACTTACTAAACTTAACATCATATTCATATATGCATTTATAATAATGTATGACGTATATGTAGTAGTAAGTATGAATGAAGAACATTCAAATAATGTTAATTAACATATATCTAAATTGTACCATTATATAATAGCTTATTAAGCGTAAAAAATATATTATACTAGCTGAATTACCCGTCGTTGCCGGGTTTAAGTATATAAATGTATGTAACCTGCCAAGATTAAATTTTGTTAAATCTATTGAAATTTAAATTAATTAAGATTTTTGAAATAATATTTTATACATATTAATTTAGTTATTATCATAACCTATTCGATAAGTTATATTTTACAACTACCTGAACCTCTCTACAGTTTGGTATTCTGTTGAATACATATAGCATCTCACTTCTCCGAATATTTTATCTTTTGTCAATAAGTTCATGGTCTTTTTGACTTTTAACCAAAACACTCTTGCAATTAATCATGTCGATCATATGATCTTTGACCGGGAAGTAAGAGCTCTTTTATCTCGTCCCAGCGAGGATTACATGTAAAAGTAATAAAAAGGTCAGGACGACCGTAATGTCTAACGTAGGTCATAGCATCTTGTGTTCTTTCGTGCATGGCCCATCAGTAAAAGATGACGGGAGTATAACCATTTGGCCTAACTGATTAGCTTCTGTCTCGTCGTCCAATCGCATCTTTTAAATGAATATAACTATCTGCACGCAATTTGGCTTGGTTATTTTTGATGTAATTTAGTCTTTCAGTTTCAATTTTGGCGTATTCATCTACCAAATATTGACTGAAAAGAGAACGATAATTAACTAAATATTTGTCTTCCCCTTCTCTGACCATTGTTCTATATGAGTAAAAACTTGATGCAGAGACAGTTTTTTTAAGCGGTAACTTGGTTTTTGGATCACGTTGTGGTATATTGATTGCATACCCATCACCCCCCCCCCCCCCCAACAAAACATTAAAGGATACTGCCGTGCGTCGTATGCTCTATCTATCTCACTGATACGGTGAAGTGAGTTACTTCGGTTTTCGAGGATGATGTCTCTTCGATCAAACTGCTGATCTACTAACACTGAAGCAACTTCATTTGCCGTTGGTGTATTATACCTGCCTCTATGTTCTTCTGGTGGTTTTTTATCTGCATGTATTATAACTTTAAATGACTCTGAAGGAGGTATTTTATCGATGGTAAATTGTAATGATCAATTGTAAATTATGCGGTGGCATACCTAGTAAATCCAATGAGTTTAAAAACTCTGTTGGATAATTTACAACTTCAGTACCATCGCAAACTGTATCTAGATTTGTATGACACCAAGTTTTCTGGTAACAAATTTTGTATCTTGAGATTCAATTCGTTGACCTCCACATTTTTTGCAACTAAAATTGCTCTTTCTGCCAGCCACTCATGATTTGTGTATTGTCTGTGTACACTGGGACATATCTGGTCAATGAGAGCATCTTGCGAATAAATGATTGTGCAGAAATCGTTCGGTAATTTTATACATCCCGTTTCATCTGTAGTAACTTTCCCATCTCCAATATCTAACAATTGTCTTGAGAATCTTTTGCACGCAACATTTTTTGATTGAATCGAAATCGAAGTATCGAAATCGTTCGCTATCTATCTTTATATATGTTTCGACCATGAATTGTTGACAAAGCTTATGCATCGTAAAATAACTTAGTCCTGATCGCGTCTAATCATCAACCGATATGCATAATAATTTTTTGAACTAACATTCTTATTTGTTTTGGCACCTGTTGCGGGATCTTTTTGTTTAATATTTATGCAATACCCGTCATTTACTACCAAAAATAAAATTAATAGTTTTTAAATAGTTTTTAATAGTTTTTTAATAATTTTTTAATAGTTTTATTTAATATAATTCATTTTCAATAGCGCAGTTATCGACCTGGTCAAAAAATATTAAACCGATTTCAACCCTTAAAATTCAAAATTTCGAAAAATCCTTTCTTAGCGCATGTCTACATCATAATAGCTATCTATATGCCAAACAAATAACTATCAATAATCTTAAATCAAAAACCAAAGAACAACAAACCAACAAGAAATCAAAATGTAAAAAGGAGATCTCTAATTAGAAGCCAAAACAAATGACCAGCTGTTCAACCCTACAAACAACCAATAAGATGTAATAATTACCAAACATTTAAATACACATAAAATATATACAACTCTACAACGACAATTTTACATCAAACAACTAACTATCAATAATCTAAATACAACTAATGTATAATGTATAAAATTCAATAAAAAATATTATAAGTGGTTACCCGGCTCTCAAAGGACACCTCCTTTAGATTGAAACGATTCAAAATCCAAGTTCTGAAAAGAAACATAACATACAAATTAAGATTTTATAATTATTAGTTAATTGTTGTCGTAGGATATAAAGATATAAAATATTTTATGTAAATTAGATGAATTTGATTTTTATACCATTAAATATTCAAAGTGTACAGTTCAGAAGTAGAAATGAAAAGGGGATCCCCGGCTCCCGGAGGGAAATTGATTTGGGTCGATCCAAAAAAAAAATCCAGGTTCTGAAAAAGAAACATAAAAAAAAATGAATTAAAATTTTAATATTTTGAAACACAATACGATTGATTGATTTAAATTGAATTATATTTTACATTTATGAGCACAATTTATTATTATTAGTTAATTTTAATCAAATGATTTAAATGTTTCAAGATATTTGATGTAAATTAAAAAAATTTGATTTTTATTCCATTAAATATTTAATGTATAAAATTCAACAAAAAAAATTATAAGTGGTTACCTGGCTCCTGTAGAATCCTTGATTTATGTTGATCCAAAAAAAAAGTTCAAGTTCTGAAATTAAAAATAAAATTATTTTTATCATTAAATTTAAATATATCAAATTTTTATTTTAAGAATATTATAATTCTAGTTTTTTACTTGATTTTACGGGTTTTTGTTTAGGCATACAATTTTATTACATTGAATATTATGGTAGAGCAAAATGAAAACCTAAAAGTTGTTCTAAATGTAAATTAAGTCACGTTGCGGTTAATTAAAAAAAACTGTACGTATATATAAAACAAAATTATAATTACCAATTATTATGCTAAAAGCTTTTTAGAATATGTAAATATTCAAGTTGGTATTTATCATTACTGATCATTTTTTATAATAATTATAATGGAAACATTTTTGATTTATTACTTAATTGGTATTGGACGAATTATTTCTTTAAAATTTTATCAATTACATTTTCTGTCTTATTATGTATACTTGGTTAACACGAAAATAAAGCTTTAAACTATTTAAATTGCCTTAAGATGTCAACATTTTAATTTTACCAAATCTTCATTCTAATGATCGGTTTGTCTTTAAAAGTAATATTTATCACATTGCAGTATAAAAGTTCTATCTGTATTTTCAAGTTTATTGCACGTTCACTATTAGCTATTAGAATTCAAAATGTTCCGAGAAAGGTCTTCACTCATGTCTCTACTTCCGACGTTGCACGTTCTGTATTATACGTATAATGGTTTAAAGAAATAAATAAAATTCAAAATGTAAAATAATAATTTATATATTATTCTTATATGCTATTGAGAGTACGTTTTTGAATATCTTCTTTCTTGTCATATGGTTTCTTGTCAAATGCATTTAACGACACAACCATCAAACGGCCAACAATTTTTAATTGAAAATACTATGAATCAACTTTTATTTAATTTTGAAAAACTAACCACATGATTTATAACAATTTCTGAACATAACTGTCCAAGATAAATTAATAATACTAAAATAAACAAAATCTATATATGATTTACACAAATCTGAAAAATGAAACTAATCTTATTCATTATTTTTTATTCACTCATTCAAAAGTTCTTAATTTCTAAATTATGTTTTGTCAACAAATATATGCTGAATGGTCAATATTATATTATTTGATTTATAAAATCATTTATTTTTTTACAATTCAAAATGTTTCAAACACTTTCCCACTAAATAACAAATAATGGTGTCCAAATATTAACATATTATAAATTTATATTAGAATAAAAATTCGTGTTTTTTTTTTTTTTTGTTGCAACAGCGGTATATGGCCCACGGTTCATATGTGATCCTATAACAAATTTCGTGTGACCCACACTAAAACTAAAAAATATATAAAAGAAAATAAAATAAAATACGTATTTTTTGTTGTTGGTGTTTTGTTATATTCAATAACTTTTATTTATCTAATTTTATTGTTCTTGTTTTCTTAATTGTTTCTACTTTTATTAAATTTAATATTATAAATTTACTATTCTAATAAATTTAATAATTGTTATGAACTATGAATTTTTTGTAATATTATAATTAACTAATATATAGTTTATGTACGTTTTATAATTTTTTATCATTACTATTAAAATGTATAATGCCCTCAAGTAATTTTTAAAATTATTTTTTGACCCTTTCTAAAATCATTATTAAAAATTATTTAAATTTCATATTTCGACGTTTATACAGTCGAAGTAGTTGAATATGCATTTAATTAAGACTGGAATCTGCTAAGTCTAATTTCTAAGTCTCCGTATTTCGTCTATTATTTAGTTTTTAATTTGCATATATTTATATTTTTAATTAAAACGTATTCTATATAATTTTTTTTAAAAGCCCCCCTCTACTGAACATGAATGTGACATATAATTTAACTTATAGAAAGTGTATTATATTAAAGGTAATTTAATTTTATCTCGACGCTGAAATTGTATACATCCAATACTCTAGTATTTATATTTACGCATCGTTGCTACAGGTATATCATACCAAGACAGCGTTTCGTTGTTAGAGTGAATAAACAACAAGAAGTGCAAACAGACTAGAAAAGCATATGCACTCATGTATATAAACCTTATAAAAATGCAAAACGTGTTTGTTCGCATTCAAAATGTTCTACGGTTATAATCTATACATGTATTTGTTTCCATAATAAAGCATGTTTGCTTTTAGCATACACGAACAGTCGGAAAATAAATAAAATTAATAATAACAATAATTATTATAACAATAGAGGTTATGTAGGTATATTTAATTTAAAAATGTTAAAATTGATCATTTTGACCAAGTTTATATGTTTCTCTTTTTCTTAGCACACTTTTTAAGAGTTGGCACTAAAATTTATATTACCTATGTTCTTAAAAATAAAACACACATAAAGAAAACATATTTAACAGAATATTGAGATAAAATAAAGTAAGTAATTACTATACAACAATACAAAAACTTATGAAAATTAGAAAAAAAATTTTTGTGATTTTTCGACTTAATTTCTAGTATAATTTAAACCAAAATACAATAAAGTATGCATATAATAATCCCCAAAGTAGACCTCGTACATTTTACAATGGTTGTTTGGAAAAATAGGGGGAAATCTCGTCTCAGTCCACTCCTCATGCAATGTGTCCTGGATAAATGAAACTAAATTTTAATGCTACATTTTTATTGTACAGTCAATAGTATGAAATATATTATTTACTTATAGAAGTGTAACAGAATTATAAATCTAAAATATTAGTTTTCACATACTAATAAAATATATTATTATTATTAGTTTAATCTCGTGTTTTTATTATCTATTCAAAATGCATCCAGCATTCAAAAAGACATACTAATCGTAAAAAATATAATTTTTAAATCTTTCATAAAATAATATTTGAACTGTATGCATAAAGTAGCGTTTATTACTTCAAAATTCTAAATATTTTGGTGTTGATATTAATTGTGCATATTTTTTAAAAATAATTTAAAGAAATTATTTCTTGCGATTTTACTATATAATTTATGCTTTACTGTTTTTATTTCGAAACTTAAATCATTATAAGTGAATTCAATAACTTACCAACTGTAAATGGCTGCTAACAATTCTAAATTTACTGGAACTTTCACAAAGGCTATTTTTTATCGCTACAAAAACTGGTAAGGTTAATGGCAATTTGCAAATTTTATTCTTTAATCTTTCGGAACACCGACATATTGATAGTACCTACTCTTTACTAATCGTGTACAGGGCTCTAACATTTTTTACTGTAATTGTGATCAAACTTTTTACAAATTCAAGAAACCTCTATAATATTCGGCTTTTGTATTCGGTTAAAACAGATGGTTTTGATATAATACTTTTTGTCTGAAATAATTAATACAATATAGAAATGTAATAAATATTTATAAAGCTGTAGTAAACCAAATATCCATGAATTGAATGGCGTAGTACTATATTAAATTATACGATTGCATCTGCTTCTGTACAGTCGTAATAATTATTATTTTTTGTAATTTAATAATTAATTTTTGTAACACACAATTTCGATAATATCGCAGAGTTAAATTTCATGATCGATAGTAAATCATTACATGAGGTGAGTTAATCCACTATCATCTTCAAGTGACGTTCTAGCCCTATTCATAAGGAAAATTTAGTTTAACATTAAATCTGTTAAGAGTACTAAGTATCTTATGTTAACAACTAAACACAGTTCGATAACATGTTTTCTTGTGTATACCTTTCAAACGATAACCTGACCATATAAACGTTCTGGTGATTTTAGTTTTTAGAGGAGTAAAATAGAGTAAAATAGAACAGTAAACAAGACGAAGAAAAAGAGAGGAAAATAAATACTCAATATAATTTCGTAAAAATAACTTTTAATTTTGTAAATTACAAAAATTAGAAACGATTAGTGAGAAATAATATTTTAGAGTTTTTTTAGTGCGCCGAAATACGATTGCGCGTGGGTAACCTTTTTATGTATACGATTATGCGTGGAATTAGATCCGACGTTGCCAAATTTGTCAATAATAGTAAGAATATTTACACCGTAACAAAAAAAAAAAAGTAACAAAAAAAGACATAAAAAATTATACATTAAAAAAAAAAGAAAAAAAAATGTATTATTAATATATTATATATACACAATATTAAAATATTATAAATTTGCCTATCGATTTTTTGAACTGAATCTGCAGAGTGGTTATTCTCTTTAGCATTTTCTAAAATGGAATCATCAGTTGTTACTGTAGACGTATGCTTCTTTTTACAGTACCTCCATTTGACATATCCATCAGCCCGCTGTCTGATGTATCGACATTTGAGCCCGTTCGCTACTAACAAACAACCCCCCTCCCTTTCCGAAATTATACGGTGAATTTCAATTTCCATCTTAAAAAATAAGTACAAAATGTTAACCTACAAAAAAGTACGTATACATTCACACAACTGAAACGCAAAGACAACTGACAGTAAATTAGGTAGTTCTCTATTTGGCTTCCAATTTACTTATACGTCTGATATATACAATTGTGTATCAACTAATGATATTGAAACAAACACTTAAGTAATTTTTTGGTAACATGTTATATTATTATTGACGAATATAACACTATTTTATTTTAACAATTATAATTGTACAAATAATAAAATCACTGTTATATTAACAGTTTTTATTTAATATTGTAATAAAATAACTTCCCATTCATGTTGTATGAAGTTTGATTCATAGTATACAAAAAATTCTTAAAACTAATGCATGCTTAGAAAAAAATTGAAATAATAACATACACTAAAACGGCTATAGGTGAGTTCCGGCCCGACATGTCATTTACGTGTTGAAGACCGGTGAATTGCGGCCCGGTTATATTTTATCACTAAGTTAATTGCGGCCCGAGAAATTTATTTATTTTAAATTTTATGCCGGCAGTATCGGCAGTATCTTATCTAAAGTAGATACCATAACGTCAATAGTTTAAACGAAAAATATTACAGTGTTAGTCTGTTCACCACTTAGTATTTATATCTACGAAAACTAAAAATTCTGTTTGAGTGTGTTATACAGTTTGTTATAAGTGCGTTATGGAGTTTGTAAATAGTGAAAAATCAAAAACAATTATTCTCTACGAAGGCTACAAATTTCGTTTCCACAAAACACTAAAAAACGATGTACAGCGGTAGCCTTGCAGTGTCAAAAGTTGTAAGTGCTTTTTAAAATTATCTCCTTTAAATAAAATAGTTGACAGTAATACTAATCATAACCACAATAAAAACGACGAAAAAGTCCTGAATAGGCAAATATTAAGTAATTCTCTGAAAAGAAAAGCCATAGAAGACATTCCTTGCAAACCTTCAAAATTAATTCGTTCAGAATTGAAGAAAGGCGATATATCGACTTTGACAACGAATGATTTATCATTAATTCAACATAATGTTCATCCATCGTGCCCGTTCATTTGTACACCCCCCTCTGCCAAAATGCATTAAAGAATTACATGCTGCTTTAGAGTCTACGAATATCAAAACTAATATAAATGAGCCATTTTTGTTTATCAACGACAAAGAAAATTTTATAATTGGTTTTTCTACTACACAAAACATAAAAGTGCTGTGCAATGTAAATAAATTTTACGTAGATGGAACTTTCAAAAGCTGCCCTAAACACTTTTATCAACTTTTTACCATCCATGGCCTAAAAAATTATGTATATTTACCACTAGTGTTTTTTTTTACTACCCGACAAGTGTAATACCACGTACAAGTGTGCATTTCAACATTTAATTTGCCATTCCATGTCCATTGGTCTAAAGTGCTCTCCTACTGAAGTTGTTATAGATTTTGAACAAGCTATCCACAGTGCTGTAGCGAAAGTCTTCCCTAATGCTAAAATAAGAGGATGTCGATTTCACCTAGGGCAAAGTTGGTGGAGGAAAATTTAAAGTTTAGGACTCACGAAAATGTATAACACAAATACAGATGAAAGTTATTTTTTAAAATTTTTTTTTGGTTTGCCATTTTTGGATTCTGACAACGTCATTGATTGTTTCACGGATGACTTTTTAGCAATATTGTCCGCTAAAGATGATCGGGTTGTACAATATACCGACTATGTTTTCGAAAACTATATCCCCGGATGCTATGTTTCCCCCAAATATTTGGGCACAGTTCTCTGCTAGCTGTAACCGTACCACTAACGGCTGTGAAAGTTTTCATTCACACCTAAATTCATCGTTCTACTCTAGTCATCCTAACATCTATAATTTTATTGATGTGTTAGTAGAAATTAAATCAGAAACATATATCAAATGTAGAAGCAATGGAATAAAAACGAAGAAAATATGTGAAAAAGAAGCATTTATAAAACAACAGATGACAAAGCTAGCACAAAAAGAAATAGAGCAGTTTGATTTCGTCAAATCATTAAGTTTTAAGTTTTTGCCCAACCAATAAATATATATATATATATATATATATTTACATATTTTACATAAATATTAAAATTCATTTTACCATAAATTACCATACATTTAGCCATTTTTACATAAATAAAAAAATACAAATTTTTGGGAGACGACTCAGCCAACCTCCTCGTGGTGTCTTCTGGGTAACGCTGATAGGCTGATATGAAGTGATAAATAAAATGTAAAATGTGGCCGCAACTCGTACGTCTGTTTTATAAACACAGGCCGCAACTCACACGTCTGTTTCATAAACACGGGCCGCAATTCGTATGTTATTTAGGGATCGGGCCGCAACTCACCAACACCGACTAAAAAAATACAAAGTTTCCAAATATTGAATAAAAATATTATTTGAATATATTTCATTTTAAGATATGGTATAATGAAAATAGTTCAACTATAAGTTATTACATTTTATAGTAAATAATAATTTAAATAATATAATACCATTATTAATGCATGTTAATAATTAAAATGCACATTTTTTTATGCATATTTGTAAGAAGAACCAAAGCGCAAGTCCTCCATTAATCAATCCGTAAAGTAGGAACTGTAAAAATTAAACATTCATTAACGAGTTTATTTTAATTATTTTATTTGTTTAATACATCATAATAAATATGCTATAGATTTTTTGGCGATATAATAGGGGTTAACAGTGACAAAAACTATAGATTAAATAAATCTTAAATTTTTTATTAAAATATTACATAGGAACAATGTTCCCCACAATGCAGAACTAAGATCTTGTAAAATTTTGGTAAGCAATTTAAACACTTATTTATTATTATTTTTTTGTCTATTTTGAGATATTATATTTTACCCTGGACAATATTTATTTTTATTGAAACAAAAATATATGTTTGAAGTATTTAAACTTGATCGTTTATAATAATGTATTATTTTCATAAATTATAATTCTAGAGAAATAATTTTTGTAAAATACAAAGAAATATTAAAACATTATCTCATACTTGAATTTAAAATTATTTGATATAAATTCAATATAAATTAATTAACAATAAAAGCATTTTCTTTACATGACGTAAATTCAGAGAAAGAGAAGTATCAAAAATCGTATTTCAGATAATATGCTTTAAGCTAAGAACATATTAATTTTTCTACATAGACTTCATAAAAAGTATACTGCTGATTATGCCTTAAAAATTGTATTTTCCGCTCTCAGTCAGTAATATTTAAACTTTACTGTTACCCATAAAATGTAGCTTTTATTCAATTAATGAATACATTAAATTTGAACATGCATATGTAACCACATATAATATTAATTAGAGTAATTTAAAACTAAATGTGTTCAAAGATTAAAGGAAATGCGTAGGTAATACAGATATATTGCTCTTGGTGATAAAAACTTTTCGGTCATATTTCATAACCTCTCCATCTTTATAGGTTTTAAAGTTTACAATAATAATTGATTTATTATTCGTATTACATTTAAAGTTATATTCCGAAGAAATATTCATGTGTATGCATTCAATCTGTGCGTTAAAAAATAGAAAATATATAAAACGGTAAACGGTTATTTTTTCAAAATTTGTATGTGTGAGCAAAAACACAAAATTGTTTAGTGTTAATAGTTTTTAGGAATTTAAAACAAAAACAATTTATTTTATTGCTTATGCCAGATGATGACTTTTAAATCGATACTAGATGTAAATATTTGCACATTATATTATAAAATAATACTGCAAGCAAAAAATTGTATATTATTCTTGTATTGATATAACTAACACAATTTTCCAGCTTTTGATCAATTATTTTTTTATTATTAGTTTTAAACACTTTATTATTTCATTTTCGCTCTTAAAAAATTGGCTCAATGCGTACTTAATTGAGGCAATAGTTATAATTGAACAGTTGTAAGATTAATGTTATTATGTTGATAAACAACAATGTAATTGGTTTTTGTATATAATCTATCGCTTCGTAGAAATATTAAAACTATATTTTACTAAATCTTATATAAACGAAAAAAATGTTTGGTAACTAGAAAACTATGTAATACATTCCAGTTAGGGTTATAGAATATGAAACAACTGTTCAAAAGTTTTGTAAAGATAAATTCAAATTTAATTCAAATATTTTTGTTCAAACGCTTATTTATAATGGACAATATCTATTAGTAAAATGCACTTATTTCTCTTTTACATATTTTTGAAATACAAAATTTACTGCTCATTTATTTAATAATATTTTTAACAAAATAATATTTAATATAACCTAACAAATAAAAATTCAAAAATATATAATATAAATCTTATACGGGTAACGGTATTCCATTTTTTTTTTTTTAATCTGTACATTTTATTGTATTACCTCAGCATACTTAAGTGTGAACATATATAATATGGAACGTTAAATGATGAATTTAATAGGTAATAAATTGACCATTTTGCATTCATATTATTTTTAGCATAATTAAGTAATTATTTTATAACCTTAATCAAATAATTGTATATTTAATTTTCTTTTTAAATAGTTTTTTTTTAATAATTATTTAAGGTCATTCTCGTTTTTTTTTCTTAATTTTTTTTTTTTTTTCGTTGCTTAAATTCATAAGAATAGGTTTAAAATACATATTCTCATTTACATTAATTCAATATAATATAATTTAGTTGGCCTATTGAGGAATTTGGCTAATCGATTAACGAAAATTATAAAATAAATAAGTTTGAAATCATGATATAAACTCAAGGATTTTATTGCAATAGCCAAGTGAATGATTAATTATCAATAAAGACGTTTAGGATTCTTGAATATGTGTTGCAAGTAAAATTCGTGCACTATGTTTGTCGAAAGAAATTAAAAAAGTGAAATAATTAGGGAAATAGAAATTTCTCAGTCAAGTTATTTATCCGAAGCAATGGTGTAGAAGTCAAAACCCTCGGATGCAAAAGATCGGCCGATTGAATTCATATTTATTAAATAATTCGTACTGCAGCTTATACCTTTTGAGCATTCTCTGAAGGATTTCATGTGATATTATGTAGCCAGAGGAATAAGCAAAGATTAGGAAATTGTGAAAAAAAAAATTTTACGAAATTACAGAACGAATACGGTATAAACAAACTGGAAAGACGAAAAATAAGGATTGGTATAGGAACCTAATTAAATTTTCCTTTGATGTCAATAAATGCGGAAGTTAAGATTTTTAATCATAAAAGAACTGATATATTTTTCCTTCAAGGGAAAAAACAATCCATGGTGCTGAGAGTTTTACGGAAACTAAAAATATTGTCCGTTGTATATTTGATTTTTTTGAGATACCTATATAGATAGTTTTTAAAAATATACTCTACAAACTTTTATTAACACGAAGGATAAGAACATATTGATGTTTTTCTCAAAATCAAAAAAATTCGTCAATTGCACATTTCTGATTATTATTCTCTATAACTTAAAATATTCTTACAATCCATTTTTACTATTACGACAAAATCGATTTCATCATATTTATACGCATAAAATTTGTACGCCTTAAGTAAAGAATCGTATAGTACTACGTATTATTTTATAATTACCTGTGAGTTCACCGGTACCACGAAAATAGTACCTTGGACGAACAAGTACGTTAAAGCGCTCGATACGAATAGTGAAATGAAAAATAAGAAACCGAAAATGAAGGCGAAACTGTCGTGTTTCAAGTACTTCGCAGTTTCAGATCTACCACGAAACGAAAACATTTTAGAACATATTGTCCGTAGGAAACCGCTTACGTGTTGATCAGTTTGTACAATCGCATTGTTATTTACCTGGCTACAACGTTCATTGATTGGAACGCGAAACAAAATAATATGTACATCACATACACCAAGTTCAACGATGTCGTCACATAGCACACGCTCAGTGCTATACAGTTCAATAACGAGCCAAAGAATAGGAAATAATTGCTTGCCGATCTCCATTCCACTTTCAGGAACCCCATGCAGTACGAAGACAATGAACCTGAAAAGTAACATTTAAAAATTTAATGCCGCGGAAACCATCTACGTTTAATAATATTTTGGTAATGGAATTCACGTTATAATCGGTGAGTCATCATGGTTTTAATAAGGAAATAATTCGTCAAAAGAGCAAAGGTTCATATATTTTCAAATTAAAACGGAATTTCGTACAATAAAAACTATTATGATATTATGACAATGAATAATAATTGGAAACAAGAATTATGTAAGCGAATTTTTCAAACGAAACTGTTCGTCGTTTTAAAATCATATTTTTCTTGTACATATTATTTTCAATGGGAAAAAAGAAGATTTTCGTTTTGTAATCATATTTGTAGATACACACTGTGAATATTTTCACAGTACCACTTATTAATCGTACTAATTTTATATGAGTTTAAATAGAGTTATAGTTATATAGTGAAATCTATAGATTTGCACTAAATCTTTTTGTTGTTTTGTAAGTGCTATGCAACAGATTGCATTTTTCAGCAATAATAATACATAAATACCGTTAAATTAGTTTATTTATTTATTTTTTTTATAAACGCTGAAATTTCCAAAAGTTTAACAACTATATTAGAAACAAATTGATCGATTTAGCGGAATTGATTTTTAACACGATAACATATATCGCCACCAGCGCAAGATTAAAAGTTGATTATAACTTTTTTGAAAAGTTTTTTATATTGGTATATTTTATCATGAATAATTAATGCATTTTATCAACAATATTTAGAAATCTATTTACACGAGTATAAATCAGTGATCAATTAATATATTTTTTCTAAGAAACTATATAAATAATTAATTTATACAAAAAGCGAATATAAAATATATATTCACATAATTGAAAACCATAATGAACTGAAAATTATAATTATTAAAAACAATTTAACTCAATGATCTCGCACTAAACTGAAATGTTTGTTTTTTTAAAACGTAGTTCACTGGTATAGAGAAAATAAAAAGGTTAACTCGTCCCATGTGCTCTTAATGGTTTGTTCTACAACTTACGTTTCTGTTTGTAATATGGCGATAAAACCAGACACAAATTAGAACATAAAGCAAAAGATAATTACCAAAAATCGAAATCGCATTATTATATATTAAGGAGGAATAAAATATTGAACCTGAAATATTCACCCGTGATAAAAGCCACAGCGTCGACTCCGCCGTTGTACAGTTTGTTGTTGAACGGGTCTCTTTCGTTCAGATCCAAATAAAGCACATCGTTGTATGTCAACACCTGAAATTCTGTCGAAAAGTCACATATTGTAGGCGATGTCAATGAAAGGAAAATAATACCGCTCCGATGTATTAATAGTTTGCATGTATGTAAATTATTTTTAAAGACAAAAACATTGGAGACGGTAAGACCTTCCTAAATGTTGTAGAACCCCTCGGAAATAACAAAATTTGTACGAAAATATAAAAATAAAAAAATAAAAACATGTTTTTTTTTTTTTTGTGAATAATAACAAAGCAATTAGTTTAGTAATATAAAAGCACAAATATACAATTATATTGCTATTTTTTAAATGATACAAATGTACAAAACGACTTTTGATAGAAAAAAGTGATATGGTATGTTTAGTTGTAAACACTTTCAAGACGAAAAATAATTTACTTACGAATTACAACTTCATGGAAAGATTATATATAAAAAAAAAAGGGTATTCATATCGTGTTGATTTTTTACCGTATCCCAAATGTTTTTTTACCCCCCCCCACCCTCCCCACAGGATCGTTATTTTAACCCCTTAATACATCCACGTTTCGATTCAATGATACGCTGGGCAACCACCCATTCACAGTGTACCGAAGACGTTTACCTGAAAGTATATGCCGGTGGCGAAGGAGAACCATATGGCGTATTTCAATAGATACGAATTTGTGTACACGTCTGTCAACTCCAAGTACATCTGCTCCATGACCAATCGGACGGATTTCGGCCGTTTTTTCACCGCGGCCAAATCGCTACAGCCCTAAAAGAATAACAGAACGACGGTGATAATGATGATGACACTATGAATATTAATATTAAAAGGAGGACGAGGGATCTCGCATTTTGGTCGTTGCCACGCGTGTTCGGTTGTAACCGATATCGACGTTTACTCTATTGAAATATTATGTGCACGAGATCTTAATAATAAAACGGTTAATAATGACGTTTCCTAGGAACCGATGCGGCTTCAAAGCGATGTTGCACACGGTTTCATTACATGAACGAATTGCCTCCCGCGAAAAAAACTCGCATGTGTGTCCCGAGGGTTTTTCCTATTATTCTCAAATATTTATATGTATTAGCTCTACAGGGGAAAGTGTTGTCCTTCATGTTAACGTGTGCCTGAAATAATTAAACTCTGAAACTACATCCAACGCGAGAGATATGTTATCGAAATATATTTACACCGTTCGTTTCTTAGTAGACTATAATACAAATAATCGTGTTGATATTTTTTTGTCTATTTCTTCATAAAGCAATCGATACGAGTTGAAAAAAAGTATTAAACCGCCGCGAAAAAAACGACACTTAACATTTTTTCCATCTCAATTAAAAAGTAATTTATTATTATTTGATTACGGATAAAACAATATATCACCAAATCTAAATTGTTTTATTTTATTTCGAAACAAAGCTAAATCAATTTTAATCAATCACAAACTTCATTAAATACGTATTTATTTCTTCACTTATACCTTATATCACGAACGTGAAATTAATAAACTGATAATAGAAACCTAAAGTCAAGCAATCGGCTGACAATTGTTATTAAAAATATTGCATATGTGCATAGTGGAATTCCCATTTAACGTTCTTAAGAATTGAGGGAAGCAAACAGTTTTTATATTCAAATTTAAAGAAAAAAAAAATCATATTTCAGAAAAATAGTTCAGTTATAAGGGAGTAATGTATTCGATTTTGAATCTTGACATTATAATATGACAATCCAATCATTGGACTTGATGCACTGAACTTTTACGCTTGATGGTTTTGTGAATTAATGCTCATACTCAAATATTGTTTTTTATCGAATCGTCGCATCAGACTAAACCAAAAATAAAATAAATATAAATAAAAATTAAATACGGAAAACAAGCTACTTTACCCTGAAGTATTCATTGTTATGTGATAAGCAGCCCGTATTTATTCCAAAAAACGGTATCACAATGCACGCAACTATATGATATTGCATATACTCACATTAGACATTAAATTGTTATACCTTTTGTATTATAATATTGGTACACTTATAATAAAGTAAAACCTCGGTAAAACGGAAAATTTATTTGGTCCCGTTTCAAATACATAATGAAATCATCTCGGCGAAACGGCAACGAACACGTATCTGTATTAAAATTGGCTTAAAACTTCCCTTAAGAAGGAAATATAAAATGAAAAGATGACTAAGTCAATTTTAATATCATGTTGTCGATACACATGTCCTGACCGAAATTCAAGATATCTTTATTACTATTGACGTTAACCCAAAATAATTTTTTCACTTTACTGACCAACTTGAGACATAGAAAACCTAAAATTCGACTATTTTCATGGTTGAGAATCAAGGTGGAAAGAACGAAGCGACTGAAAATAACAAAACCTATGAGAAACCAGAAAATCTGATAAATGCTACCAAAATGCTATTTTTGTTTTCTTGAGGAACTCAATAACATTAAATAACGTTAAAATTGAAACTATACATTAATATTTAAAAAAAAAATGTATTGATGGATGAATAATTAAACTAATAACCACAGATTTTTTATAGAGAGAAACTTTCCGTGGATTTCGTGGAAGTAAATAATCATTTTAAACATTGAACAATATTATGAAGTTTACTAAGTGGTAAAAAATACTCGTTTAGTACAGTGACTATTAACTGCCGTTACGAACTATCGTTCTAGTCGTAAACTGTACACGTAAATACTAATGTAACAACCAGGTGGGTATAAATAAATATTGAAACATGCACGTATCACCAATTCAATTAATAAGCTAAGGTAGTAATAATGAAGTCGAATAAACAAAGTCAACATTGAAATAATGTAGGATTATTCACAAATAATAATTAGGGCAAAATATTAATATACGTAATAAATGTCTAAATCTATAAAGCTCAACAGATTCACAAAAACCCCAAATATCATAAGAGACTTTATAATTTATAACATTTACAAATCATCCAAACTAATTTTAAGAAATACTTTCAACAAATTTGACACCAATTACTACACAATAATAATAATATCGTCAATTTTACCATTAAACATTAAATTCCAAAATTGTAAGATAAAAAAATACGTTATTCAACAGCCAAAAACTGACCAAAAATGCCATGTGCCAAATGTAAGAATACAACGGCAACTAAACCAAAAATTTTTTAACTGACTCAGTCGAATTATTTTTATAAAAAAAAAATAATAATGGGGTAAAAATGTCGATGTTTATTTTACCATGGACGTCTTCAAATTTTTTTAAAAAAAAAACAACTAGCATACTATATACATATAGATACAGTGCTTAAATGTATCACTTAAAGTTCAGTTACTTGCAAACGAAGATCCTCGATAATATGGATGATGAACACTTGACCACTAAGATATAAGTACATAACCGTGTATCTATTTTACACACCAAGAAAGAAATTTCCAAAAATAAGACCAAAACAAATAATCTCGAAGTTTTCAACTGAAATTGACGTACTGTAATTTAATAGAAATAAAAATTAAACTCAATTTTGAAATTAACTCATTTTTTACTCAATAATTAATTAATTAATACTATATTAATACTATTTATATTTATATTTATTAAACAATAATATATTAATATATTTATAACCAACTAATTAACTATATAATTATTGTTTCTTTGAATAAAATAAAAAATAAAGTAAAATATAACGTTTTTTATAACCGAAAGTTCAAATATTAGAGACTTTCAAATGTATGCTTAAAATGCTTATTAATATCGTGATTTATAAGTTCAAGGAAGACATAAGAAAAAAAAATGTAATTTTATAAAAGTTATTAAAACAATAATTTTATACCCGAATGACGTAAAAATAAAAACAGTTTTATTTGTCCGGAAACGTTGAGCTAACCGATTTTATTCGTTGCTATAGGGCTAGAAATAAGATGGCATCATTGTGTTCCGTTTTGTTTTTGTGGCATCTACGCTTGTCCGACGGAAGTTTTATGGTAATTTTATTTCGATAAGAGCTCGATTCCTACGAAATTTACGAATGGTCATGATGATATATTCAAATTATCGTGGTGAAATCGATTTTCTTATCCGTATAAAATACCCGAAACAGTTGGAATGTTTATTTTTTTACTTTTTGAATTGCACTTCTCACGAAAATACATTGTATCGAGTAATTTGTTTCAACTAAATTATCATTTATCTTCCACAGTCAACATGTTGACGTTACTCATTTAAATACTGTAAAAACAACGTAATGTTGTGTTAAACTAAAAATGTTAAATGTACCACTTTTGGCAGCATAATGAAAATAGAGCTATAATGTATTTTGGTTCGGGTGGGAAATGTATTCCACTATCGTATGGATATAAACATTGAAAACAAAGAGGGTTAAAATATGAAGAGTGAAAATTCATAAAATATTATGAAATATTCTTCACAATTTTAAAAATATGATTATAAATACATAAAATGTGCAAAATTAAATTATTAAATTATTTATAATTATTTATAATATTCATATATATATATATATATATGTATATATGACTTACATAAATGTATATTGCAATAAATATATGGAAACGACAATAATATAATAATAGTGACGAAAAAAAATGTGTAAAGTTATGGTACGTTACTCAAGATCTATTCATTTTACATACGTTTAATGCCATCTCGTGAATGTTTAGCCATTGCAAATTTGTAGTGTTAAAGATTAAAAATAGAGTGCGCTTCAAATACTGTTTACCAGTTATTTGTACGATTAAAATCCGAATAAAGCTTCTAAAAATTTGCAACACATAATAATAATTAAACGGACTGTCGAAAATAAATTTTAAAAAATAAACATATTTAGTAAAGATATAGTATTGTAAACTAACAAATCAATTATATTGTATCTTCAACAATTGTGTTTAAGAAGTCATCCAAACTTGAATGAGTCACTACTTCTAAAAATGAATTTTTCTTTAACAAAAAATACCAAATAAAATTTCAAATGTATTTCAGTTAATTGGTGAGAAATATAATATTGAAAATTCTTAGAAGATTAAAAAAATATATATATGTTGCATTACAATTATTTATACAATATATAAACTCGTACATTGTATACTTCATATTTTAAATCCATAAAAATTATTTTGATAATCGTAAAAATGCAGTTGTGCAGAAAATCCTTAACATAATAATTCAGGTGCAAGAAATTGTATACACTTTGAGTTTTAAATATTTTTAATCTGTAGCTCACTTCAAAATCGCAATTTCTGTTTGAAACTTCTAACAGTGATTCCATTATAGTTGGTGTTTTTATATTTAGATACAAACGGTATTGAGTAGGATTGATTGAAAATAATAATATTTTTTTGTTAAATAAACATATAAGTACTGATATTTACCTTGGTAGATTTATCTTCAAATGTTTTGTAATTTATTATTGGCGTTAAAGTAGGACTGTCAGGAAAAAAATAAATACTTGATGTCACTCTAGGGAAAAAAAATGTAAATACAAAAGCTAAAACTGAACCTGTAAAAGAAAAAAAAATGATTCAGTGACGTTAAATAAGTGCAAATGAAATATTTTGTCTTCTAACTAAAGAGTGCATCGATTAAGTTATTACCGAGTTTAAAAATAATGACCAGTAACACGTGATCATAATACGCTTTTGGAGGTCTACATTAGGAGGGGAAAAAATTCAAAACGAAAACCATTTGATACTATTCAAGCAAAAATTAATATGGCATATTTTTTTAATTGTATGCGATCACATAATTTTTTTATTGTTTAATTTTTTTGTCATCAACTCTCACCTACACCTGACCGTTTTACATAATCGGTGTAGTAACGCTATAATATTTAAGCGCGCGATAATGAAAGGTGTAGGTAATCAAAATTATGATTTTTTTTTTTTTTTTTGAAAAAGAAACATTTTGTGAAACTTACCCGCAAGTGACAGGTAAACAAGTGAACTGTACTCCAGGTGCACAAATGAAACCGCGATCTGAGCGAATGTAGCTGCTATACATTTGCCAAGTAGATTCGATCCTCTGACGACACCGGTCATCTTTTGGTACAGCTGACGATCGCGGATCTTCGCGTATGCGTATGCCATGTATGCCATTTCAGAAGCCGATGTGAGACCCAAAAAAACCATGCTTAGCTGAAAAGATGTAATGAAACATTTTGTCGCAAAAATGTGTTTTCAGTTGCATCATGTGTGATCGTGAACGGCTACGATCGTTTTATTTGTGTTGTGAGCACCGACTACCAATGATCGAGATCATAATATTTAGATACTGCTATAAAGTGATTTTTAAATCAATTGGATTATTATAATTGATGATAAGAAAAAGGATAATATTTACATATTAAAAGTGGTTTAGCTACAGCCGACAACAAAATGTTGTACTCATCATAATATCAGAAAGTAACGGGTGAATTGTGGCACGCGAAATAAGTCTGTTTCTGATAAGGATGAACAAACGCAATGTACATGAAGTTACATCAATAACAAAAATTTAATAACAGTAGTTTCTTCTCAAACTAAGGTTTCCCAGTCGAATATTTATGTATATTTCGAAAAACCAAACAGACACTTTTGCACTGATTAATTTTACCAGAAAGTGTAAATGTTGTGAATTATTATTTTAATTTATTTCACATGGATAACGAATTATTATGTATTAAATTGTTAAAATTATATATGATTTGATTTTCGATATAACAGTACGTATTAATGAAGTACCGATTCGGAACGTGTTGGTGACGTTTTGATGGTATCTTTACGAATTTAATGGTTTCGGTTTCAGTTAAGAAAAAATATTTCACTTATGGTTCTTAAAAATAATAAACATCGGTTTCGGTCTCAGTTTTGTATAACACCGATTTTATCAAAAACTATTGGTCTTTCTTTATTTAAGAAGTAAAAGGATTTTTTACTTCATAAAATAAACAAGTTACATTGACTTTTAACATTATCATCTTTGAAGTCTAATTTATAAAATTTATAAATATTTATGAATATTTAATATTAGTTGCTCATACTAACATATAGATGGGTAATTCAAATGTGCTAATCACGATAGATGTAAATCCATGATAGAAAAATCTTCACGATAAAAAAAGAGTGCAATTTATTTATATTTCATCTAGACATAAACACGTCCTCCCTAATATAGGGTGGAATTTAAAATGTATATACATTTTATCTACTTTAGAGTGTTTATAAATTTTATATCTTAATATATCCATTAAAATATCAATATTCGGTTTGCTTATTGCGGTTGTTCAAATCTCACCAAACATTGGAGTATTAAATTATATAAAATTTTATTAATCAAAAGAAAATACAATAAATACAATATTAAATATATATTTTATAGCAGCGGTTCCCAAATTGTGTGACGCGCCACCCAAAGGAGGCGCGAGCACTTAACAAGGGCGGCGCGACGCGCGGTTGGAATTTTACACATATT